GAGGCTCAGATTGGAAAAAAAAATTGAAGATCTGTTGAATTGAAATTGAATTGAAAATTGAAGTGGAGGAAGAGGAGGAACCATGCCTGATTTCAAAAAGTAAACCAATGCAGAAATGTCGGATATAACTTGTTCCCAGTTGATGTCGATGAGACCTTGTAAGAAATGCCAGTAGTCCATTTTTCGTTTGAATATAGAAAGGTTACTCGAAATTCTTCAATACCAGTTAGCATCAAAGAAAATTCGGCGCCAGCAAGGTCCTTCTCCCACTACAAATCTCCTAATTGTAAGTTTGACGTGATTTTCTTTTCTCTATGCCAGTCAACTTCCGGAATCTAATAAAGGAAGGTACCTGGGATGAGAGGGTAAGGAGAGGAAGATTGAATAAAGCTAAAACAGCCAACTGTTGAACTCGTAGGGATTTTGCAAATCCTCCTTCATTAATATCATCCATCCATCACATCATTCCTCAACAAGACCCCTTGCCGTTCTACTTTTAGTCACAGGAGGATTGCCCTGAATCAGGTCAGCTCTTTTTACTTGTTTCTGGAAATCCCCATCAGTCTGGAAGAAGTCATTGAAGGGATGGTCGGCGTGATAGGTTAGGTGCAGACCAATAAAGCTTCCACATTTCGGGCGCATCCACACAACGTTCTCAGCTATCGTGATCCAGCTCCACCTCCTGATGACAGCTCCGCCCCAACCACATCTGCAAGTTGGCCACAACTGTGTTTCTTTAAAACTGATTCTATAGGGAGGAGCGAATATTACATTATGATAGGGCATTAACTCGATGAGCCAAGCTATAGGAAACCAAAGGGTAACTTCCATCACAAATTCCGAGTGATCTTAGATGGTTATACCCTTTCGGTTTTCAGACCTTTCTACGTACCAGTACTCCACATTTGCTCGGTGAACCTTCTGCTAACTATACTGAGCATATTACTTTATGCTAGCGTGCACTTGGCCTAGTGAGCAATGACGTTTACAGGTGTTGAGTTACCTGATCAACAAGGTATACGAGTAAGCCGCATGTTCATCAGAAAACACTAGCTAAAAGCTCAACGATCAGAGAAATGTGAAGGGATTCACCTGAGGAGCTGATGAAACTATGCACAACAAAGTGGATAGTGTTCTTATATAACAGACCCATGAAACTTCCAGAACTTGAAACTTCTAGAAAAATCCAGAACGCTGCAAAATCGTCGGCAGATTATGAACGACGTAGCAGTAAATCCACTTTTGGCGTCACTAATTCTTTCCAGAGCATTGAGTAGGGTTAGACAAATTGCAGGGCTGGAGTGCTAAATTCTGAATTGGACCAATGCTTGAGAGTATGTAAAGCCTCTGTGTCTAAGTACTCTCATCTTATCCAATTCAAAAGCTGATAGAGGTGTTGGCCTTTCTTCAGTAGCAAATTCAAGGTTCATACCAGTATCTCTACGAAGCCGCGTGCAAATTGGATGAATGGCGCATCCTAATTCATTTACTTTTTCCAAGCTTTGCACTTCCCACCAATACCTGTATCACTAGCATATTATGGAAACCTTTTGAACAATGCCATCAAAAAAATATAAAGAGCAGATGATATTCTTATGCTTTGACTTCAGCTACTGTACTACTTCATGTAAGTTGTAGTGTAAGAAAAGCAATCGGAAAAAAATTACAGGGCTGAAAGTGAAAATCTTCCCCTTCAGGGATGCGCCACACATTCGACTTCTATTAGGAATACTGCTACATTGGAATGAGCACTTATCTAGCACACTAGCCTGCGCAAGCCAGTAGATAGATGATAGCTATAGGTCTCGGAGAATGACGCCTTATTCAAGATGAACAGAGCCCCTATAGCCACAGCTTGATTTTGTTCTCACGGAAGGCGTCACCAAATGATCCAGTCTTGGGCAAAAGGTGTGCTACAACAAGGTTGGCCCGTAATATAGGGCTGTAGAATTTGATGTCCGGATTACCAAAAAACGGCACCACTTGTCACTAGCCCACCTTACATTTACCAGTAGCGTATACAGTTGCAGTACGTAACGCCACATGTAAGAAGAATGACATTATCATTATCAATTATTATAGAGTATCATATCATAGAGTATAGTTATCATTATTCATAATAGGTTATGCTCTGTTTGTATTCGAACAATAGTAAGCTATTTTTCGAGCAATTCAAACATAATGGCTGTTTTGTTTTGAAGTGGTGAAAGAATGTGTAAATTACTTATGCGTAAGGTAGTCAAGCACACATTTTCTGCAAATACGAAGAAAAAACGTTGGCTAGTGGCTAGAAATAGTTTGGTTGAAAGGATACGAGTAACTTTGAAGACGTAAGATGCGAGTTGATCACTTACTGGATGTGACTATAGGATTCAGAAGGAAAATTCAGTGTAACTAGTAGAAGCATGAGTTTTTACAATGTGCGACCACCCAATACGAAGGAGATAAAATATGCCGCGAATTTCTGAGAGGCTTTTGCCGTCACAACTCGTATACACTCCACATCAACTCTTGAAATTCTCATCACTCTCACGAGATTGCACACAACAGACTTGAAGCCGTACGGCCAACGACTTAATATATTCAACAGGATGAGACTAGAAATAGCAGTAGTAGACATAACTTGTTAGGAATGACATTCTCTGATTCCTACCTCTTACTTCGTATCAGCACAGAAAGTCTGAGAGAAAGAAAAGAAGGAGAAAAGAAGAAGGAAAGACCATTGTGAGGTACATTGACTTAACACCTTCAAACGACTCTCTGATAGTTGAGCTTTAGTTGGCAAAGTAGATTTTCTGTTTGAAATTGTAACTATGTAGTTATTTATTCAGATCCCATTGGGAGATTTTGAACGGTCATTTCTTAGTAGCATACGGAACAACCTGAAAGAGATAAAGTCTGATAGGCTGTTCCTTTGGAACGGTCCCAAGTGGATAAAGGCCTATTTTCAATGCACAGAGTCCCTGTAGGCACAGCTTCCACCTTTTTTTTACAATGCAGAAGTTCCGCAGAGGGAAAAGAGGTCTTGTTGATGCCCTGGTCTTGTGGTGAGTTCCACCTTTACTAGGAATTCTTAAGTTGAATCTATTTTAGCCGAGTACTCTGAAAACCTGTAAGTGTTTACTATCAGAGGGGAGTTAGTGGGAATTCCTAGGATTGATTCCAGTAAGAGGCTTCCCAATTCTAGGAATGGTTCACAAAAATACGAGTCTCTACATTGTCCATAATTCACTAAATTAACGTCTTTACCTATACTGATACCACATTGCTAAAGATAAAATGAAAAGGATCTCTTGTAAAGTAAACTTTTGTTCAGGTAAATGCTCAACGAATGTAAACC